GTCAATCAGAAAGATCAGCAGTTCAGTGGTTCAAATCCCTAGCGACACGTACCAGAGTGAGCTCCCATTACTTGTCCCAGCTTCTGTAAAAATCCAAGTAGAAAAATAGGTACCTTTGGTGGGAAGGTAACAGTGCTCCGTGCGCTTTTGGCCTTTAGTCATGTCGGCCTCATGACTACGGCGACGTCTTCAGTGCTGGCTCTTTGGCTTTGAAATGGAGATGAGCACCACCCCCTAGAGTCGGGAACGACTAGCACATATGTGCGAGGGCGACCTTTACCTTACCTGTTGCAAGTTTTTTTGTGTGGGTCGGAGGTGGGGGGCAGAAATTCCCACATGGGGTGTGCTTCAGCCTCCTGGTGTGAGGATTTGGCCGAAGGCTGGAGGGAATTGCCACTGGTGGCAAAGAGATGGAGGGCCTTGTTCCAGTAGGACTGCTTCATGGCCTGGGACTAGCTGACCATCTCAGCCCACTGAGCCTCCAGGTGCCAGTACCTGGCCTTGCACTCCCGCAGGTCTTTCTTCTGCTTGGAAAGCCTATGCTCGTAGTCCTCAGTGAGGTGCTTCTGCTGAGCCTCCTTCTAGGTCAGATCCAATCTGAACTGAACTGTTTTGCCAACTTTTTCTCCTGGTGGCTGCTTAGCTCCAACAATTGCTTTCTGTTGGGGCCCTAAGGAGCTCGGGCAGGCAGGCGGGGAGTGGCTGGGAAGGGGAGGAGCGAATAGAGGCCAGTGAGGCGCTCCTTGACATGAAGGATATCTAGTTGGCCACACCCACCTAGCCACATGAACACCTAGCCACATCCATCCAGTCAGTCATTAGGCAGATCATACTAATGGTCTGCAGGATTTAAAATTATGAATTTAGTGGTCCCTGAGGTCTGAAAGGTTGGTGACCCCTGTTATAAACAGTCCTGACTCGCTTTTTTCAGTGCCGTGGTAACTTCCAATGGTCACTAAATGAACTGTTGTAATTTGAGGATTACCTGTATTCCGCCAGTGCTTTTTTCTCTCCAGCCTATCCAGTAGAGACTTGCTGTCCCCTCAATGGTATTGGTTGAAAGGGATTGGGGTGATGTAGGAGTGAACGCCGAAATGAAATAAGCATTTAAACTCATTGCTAGACAGAGGATGGCTGTTTGCAGTTGAACAGCCTGTCAGGCTGTCTAGCCAGTTACTGGTGTTTGCTTTCCTCTTTTATTTANTATATATATATATATATATATATATATATATATATATATATATATATATATCGCTTCAACAGTGCTTTACAGCCCTCTCTAAGCGGTTTGCAGAATTAGCCTATTGACACCCCCCGCCCAACAATTTGGGTCCTCATTTTACAGACCTCAGAAGGATGGAAGGCTTGAGCTGATCAGAATCCAACTCCTGGCAGTGGGCAGAGTCAGCCTGCAGTTCTGCCTTCTAACCCCTGCACCACCACGACACCCTAAAAGTAGGCAGATTCCTTTGTAATGTTGCCTCTTTTTTATCAACGGTGGTTGAATAGTTCAAACCCCAAGCAAGGACAAAGGTTATACCTGCAAACTTTTTTTCCTTCTCTGGCAGTGCATCTGTTTTCGGAGTGATTTCGAATGCTAAACAGTGATTGCATATGCATTGCATTTCTAGAGGAAGAGACCTATGTCAACTCCAGGTTCATCCCCACCTCCTTCCCCCGAGAATAGCATCTAAACACGGGAAAACCAGATGCCTCCCTTGCTGTTTGTTACTCTTCTGTCCGAAGTTCTGTTGCGAAGCATTAGATTAAGCAGTTCAAAAACCTCAGGGCAAAATTGTGCAGCTGAAGTTGCTTCTGTTCCAGAGTTGAGCTGAGCTGAAATGGCCTGATGGAATATGACAGTTTATTCTGACAGCTGGCCTTTGAGGTGATAAATTTGATCCTAAGGGATTATTCCGTGCAAGCCGGCCTTTCTCTCGGCTGCAGATGTTCCTTCTTGAGACGGGAGAGTGATTAAGGGTTACCTTGGATCTAGTTGACAGCGTGTTTAGTATGACGAGGCGATGCATGAGTGCACATTGATTCCAGTTTCCTCTGTGGAAATAATAACTGGAGAATATCTTTGACAAAATGCCTCTTTAGTCACCTTAGAAGTAGCTGTTCTTTTTTTTTTTTTCAGTCCACTGGAAGTCCATAGAACATAGACTCCTAGGGCTGAAAGGGGCCTCGGAGATCTTCTAGTCCAACCCTCTGCTCAGAGCAGGAGAGATTATACCATACTGGTCAAAGGTTTATTCTTGAAAACCTCCAAAGATGTAGCACCTACAATCCAGAAGATCCCATTGATTAATTGTTCTATCCAGGTGGATAAAAATCGATGAATTTGTGTTTTTTTTAAAATCACATTTTTAAAAATGTAAATCAGATTTTTAAAATTACATTTATTTTAATAAAATGCTTTTGGAGTAAAAATCAACCTAAAGATAGTTTTCTATTTAAGATACATTAATAATTTAGTTTATTCAGCATGAAATGGAGCTTAGTTATGTAGCATCAGGCTCTGTATGTGCTGCAATGTTTACATTTTTGGTAAACTCGCTCAATGAATCCAAGGTCGGAAAGCTGAGATAACATGCACTGCATGGATGCATTCACACCATTTCACAGTAACTATGAGATAAATCATAAAACAAAGTTCAGGAATATTCCTTCATCCCATTGTTTTGCAAATCTATGTACACTACAAACTGTAAGATTGTTTGAAGAGAAATGCATCTGTACCACCAGGCTCTATGTGTGAGGAGGAAGGGCAAGCAGTAAAAATGAAAGTGAAACCTTATAAGAAACTTATAAATATTAATATTAAAGAGCACCTCTCATTTCAGATCCATCATGGCAGAGGCTGTTAGCGGGCATCACCTGCTTCTCGCCACATCCCTCACCTTGTTGTGTCACTGCCGCATCACCAGCCGTCCCATTAAAGTGAATGGGATTGTCAGTGAGTCAACAGTGGGTCAGAGGTGGAGCTGCTGCGGGACAGAGATGACAGTTGCTCTTTAAAAGCCATGATTTAAATCGAGTTGATTTAAATCAAGCCTTTTTACGAGTGATTGAAATCATGATTGAAATCATGATTTCAATAGACTTAAATCAAATCCACCCTGGAATCAAATAAATATATCACAATACCAGGAGTGTTGAGTCCTAGTGACTGTCTGGAAGAGTCCTGGCAGTGTTTTGGGGGACAAAGGTTTTTGGAAGTGGTTTGTCATTGCCTCCTCCTGAGGACTGAGAGAGAGTGACTGGCCAAAACTCACCCAACTGCCCCTGTGCTGAAAGAAGTGGAACTCACAGTTCACCAGATTTTAACCGGATGCCTTAACCACTACACCAATCTGACTCTGTGCAATGGCATTTACTTAGGCAAAATCTTCCTATGGTGAGCTGAAGTAAAAATCCTGAGTAGAGGATATAGAAGACCCCACCATAAGAAAGAGAAGCAACTTCTGACCAATATAGTGTATAATAATAATGATGACTGTAGAATTCAGGTAGTCCTTGCTTATAGGGTGTCTTAGTGGCTAAGACGCTGAGCTTGTCGATCAGAAAGGTCAGTAGTTCGGCAGTTCGAATCCCCAGTGCTGCGTAACGGAGTGAGCTCTCGTTACTTGTCCCAGCTTGCAACACCCACAGATCCCATTGATTAATTGTTCTGTCAGAAAATTTCTCCTTAGTTCCAGGTCTCTTTAATAGTCTTCCACTCATTTCCTCTCGTCTTGCCCTTTGGTGCTTTGGATTATAAGTCAACACATTCTTCTCTTTTTGCCTCTCAAGTACGGGACGACAGCTGATCATGTCTTCCCAAATCCTTCTCTTCGATAGGGTAGATATACTTAACTCCCTCAACCCTCAACAATTCTGGAAGTTTGTTCCAGTGTTTGTATCTGAACTTCTTCTCCCTTTCCTTTCTGGAGCTAAGAACTTATTTGTTTCTTTAATTAAATTTATATGCTTGCCCATCTGACCGGTAAAGTGACTCTGGGCAGCTTACAACATCATTCAATAGTCCAGTTTGGCGAGAAGGTTCAGTCAGGTTTCCAAGTAACATCCCCAATGAAAGAAGCCTCCGAAGCTTGAGTTTCCACAAAGCTCCATTTTATTAGAGATGTCATATTGGCACATCTGCGAAAACCCAAATCTGAAAGCTTCCCTACACAAAAGAAAGTCCAAGTCCCTGGCCAGCACCCACATGCCCATCCCATTGTCCAATCAGGCACCATCCAAAACAGGAGTTGCCTCCCAGACACACCATCTCAGCTGCAGGGCAAAGTGTCCTTGACTCTCTGAGAAAAGAATGTTATTTTGACTACATCTAACCCATACTCCATATAATCCCTCCTCCCATTTTCCCACAGTAGAAAATGGCANATCTGCAGTTCAGCGGTTCAAATCTCACCGGCTCAAGGTTGACTCAGCCTTCCATCCTTCCGAGGTGGGTGAAATGAGGACCCAGACTGTGGGCGTGATATGCTGACTCTGTAAACCGCTTAGAGAGGGCTGAAAGCCCTATGAAGCGGTATATAAGTCTAACTGCTATTGCTATTGCTATGTCTTTATTTATTAAAAGCTTACCCGGCCTGTATTATTTTATAAGTAACTCAAGGCAGTGAACATATCCAACACAACGTCTTCCACTTATTTTCCCCACAATAACCACCCTGTGAGGTGGGTTGGAGTGAGAGAGACAGGGACTGGCCCAAGGTCACCCATTCAGTTTTCAAGTCTTAAGGTGAGACTAGAACTCACCGCCTCTCCTGGTGATTGGTCCAAAGCTACCCAGCTGGCTTTCGTGGCTGAGGCAGGACTAGAACTCCCAGTCTCCTGGTTTGTAGGCCAGCACCTTCCCCGTCAAGCTGCCTCTGTAATACGTCGGCCCTTCGGTTTGAAGGCATTCCCTGCTTTAAGGGGCACAGCGAGAAATTACCGCCATCCCAGCATCCCTCATCCTTTCCTAAGCTTTCCTTTCTTATTTCCAGGTCAAAATACCACAAGTTGAAATTTGGCACTGAGCTGAACCAGGGGGAAAAGAAACCGGAGGCCTCTGAACCAGGTAGTGGGGCTGGGCTCACAGCTGCCCCTCGGCCAGGGGGACTCCGGTTTCCGGGGCTGCTGTTGGGTGGTCCCTGGAGCTGAGGGACTTGCTGATGGGACTCTCTTTCGCACTTAGTGTCCAACGGGCCAGCTGAGCCCCTTTCACTGGAGAACAGCCCCTTCATCTGGAAAGAAGGACGCCAGCTCCTCCGTCAGTGAGTAGCCGTGGCTTTATGGGGGATTGGGGGAGGGCTTCTTCTAAGGGAAGGGAAGTGCACCCACCCTCCCCAGTGATGGTTTTTTTTTGGGGGGGGGATAACAGCCCCTTTGGCAGCTGTTTTTTTGGACAGCTTTCACCAGGAGTGTGCCAGATTCTTTGTCATCCAGATAAAATGTGCCAGGTTGAAATCGCCTGGTTCCAATTTGACCGAATTGTTCTGTCCTTGCTGGGAAGAGAGACCCCTTTGAGCCAAACGGGGCTGTTTCAAAAGTTTTCCCCAAGACAGGTAGTCCTCCACTTACGACCGGAACGCAGCCTGCCCATCACGGCGGTTAAGTCATATAAATAAGTAAATATAAAGTTGCCTAAATAAATAAAGACAGGATGTTCGTTACGCGCATCAGCCACAGGACCAACCTGATTTTGGCGTGGCAGCGGTTAAGCAAAGCAGTGGTTGGCTCTGGGCCAGTTTGCCAGAAACGGGAAGTGCCGGTTTTCAGCAAAACCGTGGCAAAACACAGTGATTTAACCACGAGATGCTGCAAACGGAGGTAAATGAACACTGGTTGCTAAGCATCCAGGGTGTGGTCACATGACTGGAGGGGACCTGGGGCCGCCAGAAGTTCGGAAACAGGAGACGAGACAGAATATTATGAAATTTGGTACCAAAGCTATCAGTGGTTGGAAATGAGGGAAAGGAGTCGGAACAGAACATTTTGAGGACTGTAAAACTGGAACTGGATAATACATAGAGAAATATATAAAGGAGGACAAGGGATGTATTAATAAGATCAGTGCAGCTACGTACCATAAGTAGAAACTGTATTTATTGTTATGTTAAAATATATATGGAAATGACAAATGTCCAATGTTTTCAATGTTTATTCAATAATATATATATATATANGAGAGAGAGAGAGAGAGAGAGAGAGAGTGTGGAAGAGAGGAGAGAGGCAAGAGGAAGAAGAGAGGGCTAGGAGAGAGGAAAGGGGGGGAAGAGGAGGAGAAAAAGAAGGGGAGAGACGAAAAGGAGAGAGGAAGGGGAAGTAGAGAAGAGAAGGATGACAGAGGGAAGAAAGGAGGTAGGGAGGATGAGGAAGAGAGGGGGAGAAGAAAGTGATGGATAGGGTACAAATATGGTGTATGGAAAGCAGAAGAGCCAATAATAGTTCTTGGGGGTTGATGGTAAGACGAATTGACGTAATGTTGAATAATACAAAATAGTGTTCCTTATGTAGCAGTATACATGTGGTTTTTTGTATGAAAATGAAAAAATAAAAAACTTTATTATAAAAAAAAGATCTCCTTGGCTGCGTAACTCCCTGGTTAAGAAAAAGAGACCAGCTGGGGGACCTGGGCTCCACGTTTTAGTGAGGCAGGGCAGATTGTCTTCACGTTCTTTGCTTCCTGGGAGGAAAATCTCATTCTGAAGGGTAAAATCTGCCTCTGTGTTGATGCTGTAAAAAGTGTACGCACCCATTCATTTGCAAACATACTCTTCGTTACACTCTTTTCCCCTTCAGTTTGGAATGTAGCCCTGGAGTCCTAGAAGAATAACTGATGGCAGAAATCATAGAACATAGAATCCTAAAAGAAATAAAAGAAAAGGAGGAAACAGAATATTATATGGTATGGAACGAATGGTACAAATGGCTAGAGGACAGGTGTAGAGCTTAAGGAAAGACTAAATGAAGAAGACACGGGAGTTAGAAATTAACAAGGTAGAGGTAGAGATGAACAAGCATGTGTAAATGGAAAGAAGGATTGTAAATTAAGGACTGTATATAATAGCATCATATGTATAGAAAAAGAGAACCTGAAATAAGGGGGGAGAAGTACATTTACAATGAATGTATACCAAGGTGGACATGTTGTACAGAAGGGAATTGCAAAAAATATTTTTTTCTTTTTGTCTTTTTTATAAAAAAAACCCTTTTCAATAAGGAGCCGAGGTGGTGCAGTGGTTAGGGTGCAGTACTGCAGGCCACTTCAGCTGACTGTTATCTGCAGTTCAGCGGTTCAAATCTCACCGGC